AATGACATCACAACGTCATTTAGCAACTTTTAGCAACAAATCGACCTTCCTTTAGCAACTTCCCCTGAAAATTAGTTGGCAACACTGGTCACGCCAACACGTGAGAACAGAAGAAGGACTCGCCGTACCAACGCCACATTATGGCACGGTTATCATCCTCTCACGTCGTTTCTCAGTTTATATGTATAATTATTATGCTCTTAAATGACGGAACTATCTGTCATGTTGGTAAGTGAGCTTTGAGCGAGTGAAATATCAGTAAGACTGTCCGTGTACATCACAAAACAAAGCCTGGATAACTGCTAGCAAGCGTCATGTTGTCATGGAGAAACTCAGTTTGAATGTACAAGCACATATGAATATATTAAAGCATAAATTAATGATCTGAATTTAGCAGTATTAATAACTTAATGAGTATTTATATAAACACTCATGGTCTAGACGCAACAAGTTCTAGTGAATAGTTATATGAATGTATGATTATTTCAGTGTTTCAGCCTGCATTTATTTTGGCATCCGGTCCGAGAATATCATCCTTTCTGGTTGGAAACGTGTCTGGCGTTTCCTTCAGCCTCAGTGCTGTTTCATCGTCAAATGCAACAGGTAGACAATTTCTCAAAACATGTCGATGCTGTAACAAGCAGTGTTGGGGAAAGTTACTTTTAAAAGTAATGCATTACACTATTGCGTTACTACATAAAAAGTAACTAATTACGGTACTTAGTTACTTTTTTATGGAAAGTAATGTGTTACGTTACTTTTTCGTTACTTTAAAAATCTGGACAGGACTTGCTTTGTTTTTAAAATAAAAAAGTTATATTTTTGGCTAATATAAAAGCCTTTTCACACCGAAAGTGAAATGAATAAGCCTCAGGCTGAAGGGAAAGTAAATTTACGTCCGCACAATTGAATGCAGAAGAAGAAATTTCAACACACTTCAGCAATAAAAAAAGACACAGGTTTTGTGGTCCAGGGTCACATCTAGTGTGTTGCCTACCTAGACGGCATTTTTGGCCATCAAAGTTGTGTTTACATACTCAGAAATGCTGTTTTGATGTCATGTTCATAAATAATTAATTGTGCATAATTCAATTCTTTTGAGACCCTTTGTCTTTTTCTCATTAATCATAATTATTCCAGTTGCTGAACATTTACTGTATTCCAGTTCAGAACATTTGGTCATGCTTTACATTAGTTTACATGTTATTGGACTGTGTAATTATGTAGATTTACAGTTCTTAAGTTAGCAGACACTTTTAGAAACTGTATAAAAGTGTAATATGTGTATACTGGAATGTCTGGACTTGACATTGTGAACTTCTTCAGGTAATAGCATCATCCCGTCATCATCCTGTATGCCGGTTTCTCAAACACAGTGGAATCTTTCATATGAATTAATTGGGAAAGTGAGTGGATTGTGCTGCAGTAACGGCAGGGTTGTGGTACTATAGAGGGGCAAATATGTCTTATTAAATCTCTGTCTTCTTTCTTATTAGAAGTTAGTTAGAATCAGCAACATTGAAAATGTGAGCAACATGGAAAGAATTTACAGCAGTAAACAAGCATCAACACAATAAACAATTACCCTGTAAAGCCTGTCATTTTTGAAATGACAGGAAAATGAAATCTGTGTTAATAACCTTTATTCCATATTCCAAAACGCATCACGTTTTTGTGCATGACTGAAATTCCCCTACTGTTTTCCTGTTTAGCCTTCTCAGGAAATTGGTTTGTACAGAGATTTATATGGGCTCCAGAACTTGCCAAGGGCTTTAGTGGTCTTTTATGGGATAACTTGGTAAAATGAGAAACTAGTTTCCTTTCTATTTCACCTCAGCACATGTGTTTGTAATATTTTTACTCAAGTTTGCAAAGCAGTTGCATTAAAGCTTGCATGAGAGCATTAAGACAAGACAGTGATCAAAAGTAATCAGTACCATAGGTCCTTTTTCTGGGGATTTCCACTGATGTGATATGGCACTTTCTTGTAAGCTGCTGTGGAAAGAAAGTGTCTTCTAAGAATACACATGACCGTTCCAAAATGTAGGGTCAGTAAGATCAAAGATGCATTAAGTTGATCAAAATGGATAGTAAAGACAATTATAATGTTATATACGGTTTCTATTTTAATTAAATTCTATTCTTTTGAATGATCCAGTAATCAAAGTATCCTGAAAAAAGGTTGCACAGTTTGCACAATTGATAATAATAAAACATGTTTCTTGAGCAGCAAATCAGCATATTAGAATGAATTATGAAGGATCATGTGACACTGAAGACTGGAGTACATTTTAAAATGTATTCAAATGGTTATATATATATATTACAATATTACTGTTATTACTACGTTTTTGATCAAATAAATGCAGCTTTGGTCAGCAGAAGAGACTTCTTTTAAAAATATTTTAAAAATCGTACCAACTTCAAACTTTTGAACGGTAGTGTAGATGTATTGTACATTTTCCACAGTTTTTACACGATACACTTAAATAGACCAATAGTATGAATTCATTAAATATCTTGTCATGCAATATATTTAATGGGACGGTTTTATTATAACATCCACAAGACAGGATAATAATATTGTTCATAATACTTTTAAGTTTTGCAAAATGGTAATATTGTAATATTTGCTTCAGCTCATAGTATGGAATGGATCTGTTTTTTTGAAACCTGTATGTTAATATCTATTGCTCACGAAAACTAGATTTCATCATAATTCATCCAGTTGACTTCTTCAGTAACATGATGGGAATATCCCTGACATTCAAGTTTGACGAACTGCAATGACATACCACTTACATGCTGTAGGAGTTTTGAATTGTGATTATTAGGGGAATCGCCTGAAGCAGAATCCTGACCAGAAGGAGTGGCTCAACTGTACATTTTTACTGCTTGGTTTCCCCAATGTATATGAGTGTACCTCATCACACTAAATGATGTGCGGGCAGGCCTGTCACGACAACAACTTTTTGTTGTGTGATATATTGCCCCCTATTGCGACAGGCCTATGTGCGGGTATTGTTTTGTTGAAACATTTGCCTGAGGCTTTCCAAAACACAGCCCAAGACCTCAAGAACTCCACATCTAAACTGAAAAACACAACATTATACACTACCGTTCAAAAGTTTGGGGTCGGTAAGATATTTGTATGTTTTTGAAAGAAGTCTCTGTAAAAACAGTGAAAACTGCAATATTGTTAAACATTATTACAATTTAAAATAACTTTTCTATTTCAATGTGTTTTAAAAAGTAATGTATTCCTGTGAATTTTCAGCATCATTACTCCAGTCTTCAGTGTCACATGATCCTTCAGAAATCATTCTAATATGCTGATTTGCTGCACAAAAAAAAAAAAAAAAAAAAAAATTTTTATCAATTTTGGTTAATATTTCTGCTATAATATTTTTCAGATTATTCTTAATTTATTTTAGAATTCTTTGATGAATAGAATGTTCAAAAGAACAACATTTATTTGAAATAGAAATCTTCTGTAA